ATCAGCTGTTTAAACAGCAATCAAAGTCGAGCTAATGACTTGAAACAAGCGCTTGGTGGGAGGCAACCCACTGGTAAGTTTTTTTTTTCATATGTTGTAGTCTATTTTCGTTTTCTAGCTTAAAAAAAGTCAGAAAAAGAGAGTAAGTTTGTTAGTTTCATTTGATGATGTCTTGTGAACTTGTTGGACCATGGATTATGTTTCGTTTGGATGTTTTTGATGTGTGTTTTGAGTGCCCTAACAGTCTGAATTCGGAGTACACATGATGGCATTGCATTAACACATCCAACATAACGATTCAGGAGTATCAGAGTGGTGACGTTCGTCACCACAGCATCCCTCGCGAGGTACTACTTTTCCAACTCGGTTTCACATGTTCACATGCTTCTTTTTGACAAACTCTTGACTTGATAACACTAGGGAAAATGTTGTTTAATTCTAGGGGAGGTGGTTACTGACGTTGTGTATATTGTGTTAGATTTTTAGAGTCTTAAAATTGAGTCAAAAACCTGTTTTATAGAGTCAAAAATTTGAAACTGTCAGTTTTTCTTAAAACTAACCACATAACATTGATGCTTATAAGAATCATTGCCACAGTAGTTGATTACAAGTCTTACCAAGTTGAAAGTCATAGATAGATCAGTCTAGCAATGACGGTTTAGGTTCTTAGAGAATATGGATAATTTGCTGTTAGCTCCACCATAATGAACTTTAAAATTCTTGTCTTGGGGCTTGATTTTCATTGATCTTGATTCTCTCTTTCAGTACTGACAATAACATTTAGATACAGTCTCTCTTTGATCTTCCCTGATACAGCTTTTAAGAGTTTAAGTCAAAAGAATGGCGCATTCATGACCTTGTCTCCTTACAAAGAACAACAGTAGTGAACACTCAAGAACCTATCTCCTCACAAGGAATACAAGTAATGAGTAGCACCATATCTTAGACTGTAAAAGATAAGAAAAGATTTTAAAAAATCAAAAAAAAATTCAGAAAGAAGATCAAGGGAAAAGAAAATAGGAGAGCTGTGTTGAGATTGCTTTGTTCAGGTGCGTAGGAAGGGAAAAGAATCTGTAAGTGATTGAGATGATAAAACTTTGATAAAATATCACACTTAGATAAATAACAGGAGTTAGCAGTAGAGATTTCAGATTTCTTGAAGGGATTTGAACTAGATTTGAGAGATTTGCTAAGCTTGTGATGATTAGACTGAAATTTGATCTTGTGTTGACTATGTGGTATGTGGATTCAAAAGTGTTGATCAATGTGATGTTTGTGATGTTTAGCTGATTGTTTATGTTTTCAAACCTCGACCCTGTTTCTGTTTGATGTTTGCTTGAGGGCAAGCAAAAGCTAAGTCTGGGAGAGTTGATATATCATGGTTTTTATGGTTTTTAATCATGGTATAAGTCTTTTTTATTGAGTCTTTTGGTCTTTTTAAAGTCCTCGTAAAGTCTTTGCAGGTTATAGCATGTGTGGAGCATAATTGAAGATTATGGAGCTTTTTGGAGCATTGCACGATGCAGCCACGAAATGTGCAACTCGGAAGGCGAATACAGAGTTGGGTGACGCTCGTCACCTGTAGATGGAAAGGATCGCGACTTGTTGTTAAAAGATTGAAGATTATTTACAGAATTGGCCCAGAAGTTCCAGTATTTACAGAAGTGTTACAGCTCGTGTTTTAGCTTCTATATATTAGGTTTTCAGCCATTGTTGGCTTTTATCTTAGATTTTAGAATTCAGAAAGCTTTAAAGAGAGATTTATTCAAAGTTTTTTTGGGAGACAGATCATGTACTCTTTTGAGAAGATCTCGAACTCTTCTAACTTTTACTCATTCTCTTTAATGCAATTTTATTCAGCTATGCTTTGTGATTTCATGATCATGTCGAAGTAATCTGCTAGTTAAATTAGGGCTTTCAAAGATTGATGAAGAATTTGTAGAAATCGCTACCTATTAGGAATATCTGTTGGTTTTTCATCTGTGGTTGCTTTAAACCCGATTTTCTTAGACACATCATCTGGAGATTTGAAACCTAGGTTTTTTAATAGATGTGAGAGCATTATTGGTAACCTTATCTAGCATTAGATGAGCAAAACAACTTAATGCAAAGAGATTTGGCTTAGGAGTTTTGTGAACAATTGAACTTGATCTTTACTGCATGTTTAGATTGTTAGGGTTTGCAAAGAGATTTGATACTCTATGATTTAGACATAGTTAACTTCTGCAATGAGAATTGATTAGTTATATATTTACAAATCATGTTCAAGACGGTTCTTAATTATTCATGATTTCATGTATTCTATATTCTCTGATTCAACCTGTGAATTGTCCTGACTTAGCGCTTTTAGTTTTCTGAGTCTTAGATAATCAAATTTCGCCTGCTTTCATTGTTTTTAGCTATTTCGCATTACATTTATTATCTATCGCTTAGCCTAGTCTGAATCTATAATTGTTAGTGTAGTTTACTTACTCCCTTAGGATTCGATAACCTCTTATACTACAACTGCTTTGATGTGCACTTGCAGTAGTATTTATTTGGATAAAACCTGAGTCATATCACTCCCGTGCATTGTACCAGGACAGTTGGTGGATTTCTCCAAACACGCCAGAATCATTACTCCCACTTGCTCTCCCAGCATGCCGAATGGAAGGGATAAAACGAAAGGACTGCAAGTATAAATAGGAGGCAAACTCCTCGGAGGGGAGGGGAGGGGGGGGAGTAGAGCAGAGTAAAAAAAAAGAAAAAGAGAAGGAGTCGGCTGATATCTAAGGTTGACGCCCCGGCCATACAGCAGGATCACAGGTGAACTTCACGTTCTTCTCGGGTGAATGCTGGCCAGGTTAAGTCATTCCTAGCTTGGAACCTCGTCTTTGTACTTGCTTCATTTTTCCTTCGATGTGTAGAAACCCTCTTTGAAACACCCGAAATCAGATAAAAACCTCGATCCCTGGACGAGACTTCTCACGACTAACCCGTAGAAAATTTCCCTCTCGAGTACTTTTTCCCGGTAGGATGTCCACTAACTTGGGCGTCGGAGAACCTTCAGAAGGAAAACCCTTTTCGGTCCTCCCGAAGGCTCGCCTGACATTTGTTTAAGTGCTGACCAGGACCGAACAGTCGGCGCTCATCCCATCGCCCCCGAACAAGAAGCTTCCGCCCCAGAACGACGACTCGCCACCTTTTCCTCTAGAGGATGATACTTGGAGGCTTAGGTCAAACCCCGACGAATCACACACCCCCACGTGGCATCCAAATTCGCTCCCAAACAATGTTATATTTTATAATTTATTTAATTAAAATTTAACCAATCAAAACATTTCGTTTATTTTAGGAAACTTGTCATATTACATTTTCATGTCACCATTAATTTGCACTAACTTTCACTAAGGTAATGACACATCAAATTTTTCATTAAATATACTTCTCAAATAATAGTTAAGATGGAGAATGAATACCGAATTCTTTTCCCTAATCCAACCTTCTAATAACTTGCAAAAACAATGTAAATCAATAAATAATAATGTGTTATTTTTTTGGGATAAAAAGGTAGATGGCTAAGTGTGAGGATTTTATTAGGGAAACAACAAGAGACTAATGTGCTAGAAGGAATTGGCTAAAGTATGTCTAAAAAAAAGTTATTTTGTATAATTACATCAACTGCCATTCATATGCGCTTAGGATTTGTTTTAAATGAAAAAGATGTGTTATGGACACATAAATATAATACTAAATAAATGCAACCAAAAAATATTTTAACTTTATTTTGATTGATAATAAATCTAAATATCTGAATATAATATTAATTCTATAGTGTAATTTTAATATAATATAATATATTATTATTGGAGGTGATTCCCGAACACTATATATATCCAAACATATGGTGTTAGTTACAAATTAAAATACTCAGATATAGATTTATATTAATATGATATAAAAAATAAGTTAAAATGGTAAAAAAATATAACGTGGCATTTAAAATATATATATATATATGTATTTATTATTCTAGTCCTATATATAAACTTATAGATATAACTTATCTAATAAAAGAAATAAGACAACATGTCAAGAAAACATATAACTTTGCATTTAACAATATAGATATATATTTATTATTTTAGACCTTTATATAAAATTATAGATATAGCTTACATAAAGAAAGAAATAAGTTAACATGTTAAAAAAACATATAACTATATATTTTATTATATATATAGATGAATTTATTATTATGTATGAAAACATGTGTTATTTATTATTATAAACATGTATATCTATAAATAGTGTGTGCTAGCATAAACAATTAAAAGAGACATTGAGATTACCAAAGATGAATCCGAGTTCTCCAAAATATTTAGACATCAAATCGAAAAATTTGTCTGCTAAAAAATTGGGTTGGGAAAAATTCTTCACCTTTAACCATTTTTCTTTTGGAATCTCACCAGATCTGCTAAATTGTTAAGATCTAGAGAGGAAAGTTTAGAGATTTGGAAAGTAAGGTCAAGAGAGAGAATACATATATATATATATATATATCAAGAAATTGTTAGTAGGAAGAATCAAGAAATTATTAGTAGGGAAAATCAAGAAATTGTTGGCAGCAAAGGATGAAAGCATGTCGGAGGAAAATAAAAATGGTGTCTCGGAAGTGAATTGGGAAGACATTAATTAAGAAGAAGACGACATATATATGTCCACCTATTTAATTATTAACTTTTGATAGATACCACTTAGACATCTATAAATAATTTTGGATGAATGAAAATGTTTAAAACGCGTGAGAAATATGAAAGTGTAATAGTCTAAATATATGGTTAATTAATTTCATGTTTAAACTCATAAATATATCTTGTTATTTTCTCAATTAACTACCAGTCTTTAGCCATTTAGTGGTATTATCTTTATTTTTATTTTTGGTCAAATAATAATAATGTGTTATTAATTCAAAATTTGGACAACTATAAACTAACTAATGAATTTTATAAAAATATTGAGCTGTCCTATGATTAAACAACAAATGAAGGCTCTAAGCTATAGCCTACAATGATCATCTAGAGAAATGGAGGAACTTAATCCAAAACAAATATTTTATTTTATTAACCCAATATTATTCTGATCATTTTAGGCAAAGAAGGATTACATCAAAATACATCAGTCACAAACAAAGACATCAACAAAAACACACATGGAAACATTCCAAAAGAAAAATCTCAAATCTCAATTCCCAGATTTTTAAATCCCTCTGTGCACCGGCACAGCTCCGGTACTACCGCCTGACTCTCCTACCCCGCTTTCACCGGAATCTGAAAACCCTTTAGTCCCTGCATTTACAACAAAAACATTGAGTAAACCACAAGCAATCAACACTACCAAAGCTTTAATTAATCGCATAACAAGGACGAGAGTGAGTTTTACCAACGGTGGAGCCAAGTGATTGTGAAGAAGACTCTTCAACTGAAACCGGAGATTTCGGCTTCACCTCCTCCGTCGTACCACCGAGCCAATAATTGTACGCTCCTTTAATCTTCCCCACCATTCCTCCTCCGTTTCCTTCCTCCGCAACCGTCTCACCGTGTTCTTTTTCATCCGATAATTCCTTGGAAAGATTCTTCTCCGCCGTCACTTCCACATCCTTTGTCTTCGTTTCTCCCCCGAGGTTAAGTTTCTCGGCGACCATCTCAGAAAAAGCCTTGTCTTCTTCTTCAGGTGTCATCTTCTCCGCAACCGCCTCACCGTGTTCTTTCTCCTCCGATACATCGTCGGAAGGGATCTTCTCCACCACTTCATTTGGCGTGGTTGTCTTCTCTCCTCCTCCGAGATTAAGTTTCTCGGTGATCATCTCAGACAAACCCTTGTTGTCTTCTCCAGGTTTCACCTTCTCCGCCAGATAATCTCTACCTGCCACGACTTTCTCTTCCCCTAGTTCCGTCTCCTCGACTCCACTTCCACCGCCGGAGAGGGGCAACTGCGTCGTCACCGGTGATCCACTTTCTGTGACCTTTTCGTTTTCCGGAGTTTGGACAGCCACGGGGCTCTCGAGTTGCTCGCCGGCGGGTTTGCCGGAGTACCCTAGGCTTGAAGCCACGACGTCCTTCGTGGCTATAGCTTTGCCTGATAAGAACGACGTCGCTGAGCCCATCATCTCTGTGTAGGTGGCGGGTTTTGGCTCTTGTGTCTCCTCCGCTTGTGAATCGAAGTCATCTCTCTCTTCCGGAGGAGAAAATCCCGGTGAGAGTTTATCATTAGTTCCAAAGTCAGTCTCTATTTTTTTCACATCATCACTCCTCGTCGGAAAGTTTTTGTCTAGTTCAGACTCTGACTCCTTCCCGATTACAGTCTCCTTCTTCAAGTCGAATCCTTTCTCCACTCCAGTTTCCGATTCTCCGGCGAATCTCGTAGGCGAATCGTTGTCGACTGCAGATTCCATCTCCTGTTCAAATTCGTAGTTTTTCCCCAAAAAATCTTCCCTCCGTTCAGTTCCTGGTTCTCTATCACCAGTATCCTTCCCGATTTCGGATCCGATCGTCTCTTCAAAGTCACGACCCTTCGCCGGAAAATCATCCCTCAGCTCGGTTCCTGGGTTTCCGCCATATCCCGTCGGCGAATAGTTGCCGATTCCAGATTCGGTCTTCTCATCCAAGTCATGGCTTTTCGCCGGGAAATTAGTTTCTGGCTTTCCACCAAATCCGGTCAGCGAATCGTTGCCGATTCTAGACTCCATCAACTGATCAAACTCATCACTCTTCGCCGGAAAATCATCCCTCGGCACAGTTTCCGGCTTTCCACCAAATCCGGTCAGCGAATCGTTGCCGATTCTAGACTCGATCAACTGATCAAACTCATCACTCTTAGCCGGAAAATCATCCCTCGGTACAGTTTCCGGCTTTCCACCAAATCTCGTCGGCGAATCGTTTCCGATTCCAGACTCGATCTTCTGATCAAACTCATGACTCTTCGCCGGAAAATCATCCCTCGGCACAGTTTCCGGCATGCCACCGAATCTCGTCGGAGAATCGTTGCCGACTCCAGATTCGATCTTCTGTTCAAACTCATGGCTTTTCGCCGGAAAATCATCCCTCACCTCAGTCTCTGGTTTCCCACATAATCCCGCCGGCGAGTCCTTGTCGATTCCAGATTCTGTCTTCTGATCAAATTCGAAGCTTCTCGGCGGAACATCCTTTTCCAGCTCAGTTCTTGACCCTCCTCCAAATCTTGCCGGCGAATCCTTTCCGATCCCAGATTCCGACTCCACCTCAGTTCCCGTCGGCAAGTCTCTTTCAAACCCTAATCCTGACTTCACATCAATCCCTGAGACTCCATCTTCTCCACTTCCTAGATTTAACCACAACAAACAAAGAGTTACAGATTCATTAAAAAAAAAACCAAGAAACACAATCCTCAGTTCCGCTAAAACAAAGTTGTTCTTAGTTGTTACCTTGTGGGATGTTGTGAGTAGTCTTGGCCGGATAAGTAGATTCAATTCTCAGATCGTGCTCCGATCTTTTGGGAGTCTCAGTGTTGACTTCCCGTTGACCACCTAGATTCTCATCTTCACCATGAGCAAACAGAGACGCAGGAGGAGCGTTCAATGGCACGTGATCACCTTCTCTGCTATCTTTCTTCTCCGAAGGTTCACTCGTTCTATAGCTTCTCGCGGTAGACACTTCATTCACTGTTGCATACAGATTATAATACCGATAAACACGTTAAGGTCATTGTCACAAAAAAAACACAAAACGTAAGGGGAAAATTTACAAAGAAATTAACCTGGAGCGTGTTGCTTTTCTGGTTCTTGCTCGTCGATGTCATCGTCTTCTTCTTCATCTTCCACATCGTGATCATGCTCATTGCCATGTTTAGTAAGACTGTTCTTGAACTTCCTAGCTCTTGCTTTCACTTTCCTGAACATTTTAGATGCACCACTCTCATGATGCTCTTCTTCCTCTGTTTTCGAAATTACAATAAGTTAGGAAAATTACGAGAAACGCCAAATTAATGTAAAAATAAACAAACTTTCTGAAATTAAAAATATGTATATATATATACCTAAATGTTGAATTTTGATTGGATCCTCTGCTTGAGAATGGCCAGAAGAAGGATGTGTCAGATCCATTTTTCCAAAAAACTGTGTTCTTTCTTTTCCAAGAGAACCGATCAAAACTCTCTCTTGTTTCAGTGTATTATTTTCTTCTTTAATGAGCAAATCAGAAGTTGGTTTATAGAGAGTGAGTGGGAACGATGACTTACTGCCGAACCAACCTCCGACACGTAGTGCATCCGTTTTGTCATGCCACGTGTCAGACTTTTACTCTCTCTCTAGGTAGGCTATGTCGGTATGATCTTTTTTCTTTTCTTTTTTTTTCGATGTCGGCATGATCTTTTATGCCAAAAGGAAAATAGTAGATAGATTGTCTTCATTCGAAACCGAAAGATGATCTTTTATGTCGGTATGATCTTTTCATCTGATCTGAAAGAGAGAAGCCTGACGATGAAACGTCTATTGATAGTGTTGGTCCACATTTATTTGGCCCATTATGTAGTTAATTTTACAAATGGCACTGTTTGTTTGTTTAAAGATTTAATAAACGGCCCATCGTTCTCATTCAAAAATTTCTGTTGAATCTCTGTGTAGATATGACTGTTTCAATGTTCTTTGGTTTCTTAGAAGAACACAAGTTTTGTTCGTAAACATCTAGTTAACCAAATTCTTGGACAGACAAAAAAAAACCTAACATCCATTTTAAGACACAACGACTCTTTGATCATTGTCAAGTCTCTCCTTGTGGAACATAACGTCATCTGCTGCTCAAGATTGATGAAGACTTCAAGCAACGAGTATGTTTGAAGAGAAAACTCAAGAAATCTCTCTCTTCTGATCTTCCCTTGAACCTTTTAAACTTGAAAGTTTTAAGACTCTTCAACAAACATTTAGGAATCGAACTCGGCTCAAAGCTCCAGCGAATCTGTTCTTGGTCGTCAAAATATCCCTGGCATTAAAAAAAGAAAGAAAATAGTTTAGTAAGATTACACGCTTTTAAACCGAAAAAGAGTTTTTGAAGAAACTTACATAGACGGAGAGAGTGAGGGCTCGCAGATTAGGAGAAGCATTGAGCAACCGGACAAGTAACTTGGACCAATCATTCTTGAATGCATTTAGCTTCAGATATTCAAGCTGGTCGAAGACAGTACCAGCACGGTACATAGACTGCACACAAGACAAAGTCATAACCAATGAAGAAATCCTGATTTAGTGTTTTATGAGTGTTGAGAACTTGAAATTGATAGATGGAAACAGATTGCCGCTCCTTCATTGTTGAAACAAGATGGCAATGTTAATGTAAGACGTTTGACAGATGTGATTGATCCGAGAAACTTTTGGAGATCTATGCCTCTTCCAACTTTGGCATGTGCGTTTTCCAACTTTGGCATATGTTTTATCGAATAGGAGGAACTGTCTCTGTGTTCCTTAACAATCAAATACTTCAAAGAAGGGGTATCTATCACATACCCATCGGACGAACATTTACTTGCGATCCACAAGGATAACCTCTGCAAGGACGGGACAGTAACAACTAACGCTTTCACATTGTCACGCTGACCTCGTTTAATAACCAGATCTTCAAGAACAGGGCAACATGATAGAAGCAAACCAAGAGAATCTTCATTAGAGTATATCACCCACTGAAGTTCCAAGGTTTTCAAAGAAGGGAGACAAACCGTTCCAGGGACATTTACACGAACCTTATATCCTTCAAGTCTCAAAGTCACGAGCGATTTGCAGGTATATAAACTACTCGGCAATACTGTATAATATTCGATACGTAGCTCTAGCTCTCGCACGCAGCGAGAGACTGCAATTACAACCCATTAATTGAAAGCCTCAGGTCGAGGCGATGCACAACGAAATTTGAGGCACAAGCTTTCTATGATCGGAGCTCTATGTAAAGGCAAGTTCTTGTTAATAAAATCTCTATACCTCAGGAATGAAGACCTTGAACGATCAGTAATGTCTTCGTAATCATTGTACTCGAGCTTAGGCACCCACATCCAGAGAAACTTCCATCGCTTAGACAGAATGCTAGTGGATAGAGCCACTTTCGTAGGAGCAAACGATAATATCTTAACCAGCAAGTCATCAGACAACTCATTGATTCTGTCCATAGCTTTACAAGGTGATGAGAGGATTTTGTCTTTCCTTCTTCCGACCCTGAAATGAAGTACCAAGTAAAAAACAAAGCCACAAAGACAGACAGAAACCATAAATGTCGAATGACAAAAACCCTAGAAAAAAAAAAAACCTGTCAAGTTTAGTGGAAGCTTGATTCAGAAGGTAAAATTAGAAACGTTCGGACAACTATGAAACGTTTGTTGACAACTATATTCCCACTTCGCTTCTGAATGGGTGGATTATCAGAAGTTATTATCAGAATCGACAAAGCTTTGTTCTCGCCGTCAACACTCACCAAAGTCACCCTTCGGATTTAGCTAATGGTTTAAGGGTTTTATGCCATCATCTCTGGAGTAGGAGGGCATTAATTATATAAAGGGATAAAGAGGTGGATGGCAAAGGATGGGATTTTTATTAGAAAATCAATAAGATATTTTATGAGCTAAGACAAAATGGTAAAAGGATGTCGAAAGAAGAAAAAAATGTTTCTTGATATTACGCCGTCTGCCATGTATTGCGCGTGGTTATGTGGAGATAGAATAATATGTTATGAACAACTGAGTTAAAGAGCGAGAAGAGTTGGCGATAACAGATACGCTTCTTGTAGCATTAAATGGAAAGACAACGTAATCTATAAGCCGCCTGACGTATGCATGAGATAGGCTGAGGGGGTGGATAGTTATTGCAATTTACTAATGCTGGAACAAGATTTTTGTAGTGAGTAGGAGGGAAAGTGAAAATATCTGCGTACACCTAGGTATGTGGAGTCTCCATAAATAGTGGTTTCCTTCCTCTAATTTCATGTAACGCTGCAACCGGTTAGAACAGGTACACGTATTTTCTGGTACAGTCGTTTCGTTTATGAATATCTATGATTAATATTGAAGTGATTCTGTTATTAATAACCACAACTATGTGAACCAGATATCATAATGGTGCAACTTTGGGAAGTCCTCAGCGATCTGGTCCGGGCAGAACAGGGGTGGTGGATGAGAGATGCGGGGGACGTGTGGCAATTTGTATTGTTAGAGGACAGGCTCAGCAAATGGATCAAGCTACGGGAGGGAGAAGGGATAGAGTCGGTAAAGACGACAGTGTGTAGAGAACTACGCATCAACATGAACGAGGAGAATGTCGAGCTAACGTACGAAATGCCAGAATGGATGGACTTAGATGGCGTTGTGAAGCCTGTGCCGGTCCATATCCGAACCGACTCTGACATGGACATGTTCCTCGCCATGCGGGTCGACATCCACGAGCTGAAGCTTTATGTGGTTCCGATGCCGAAGGATGTGACTCTTGATATCGAAGGGTTTTCGGTGGTGCCGGTGACACACGGATTTGCTTTGGCGGAGGTGGTTCGGGGCAGTCCAAGTGGCCCACTCTATGTCAATGTCCCTTCGGCTAGCAGCAGCGACAACTTTCAGGGAACGCAGACGCTAGCAGACACACCAGACGAGGGGGAGTCGAGCAGACGTGTCACAGTGTCGTGGCTAGCGTGTCGGTTAGGTTTGGCAAAGAGCAATATGGTTCCAGTGACGGACACGCTTGTGGTGGACAGCGTCAGTGGATGTGGCTCGGTACAGCCTCACACGGATCTTAACATCCCCGACATCGGAGAGACTTCGGAAAAGGTCTATCCTTTGCAAGATTTGTTCCCCATCGACGGGATGAACGGTAATTAACAATATAAATGTTTACAAAACTTTGTAGAGGTATGTAGGACAAAAAGCTCATTGTTGCTGTGACAGGTGTGGACGGTGGGGTAGCCAGACGTGAGGAGGACAAAAGGAATGAGGGGATATCGGGGGCAGATACTCAGACAGGTTGGATTTCGTTGTCCGCGTGTAAATTTGTCCATTGACTCCTTTTGCTTACTTGGATAAGAAAGAGAAAATATACAAAGTAGCTTTATCGACCATCATTAGGAGTATAATAAATGCTTATCTCTAAGTAATTATTTACCCAGTGTAGCCTTGGTCTTAATCTACAAAGCATTATTATTCTCGCAGGCCTCGGATCTGATAACGTCACCGGTAACGCTGGCGGTCCTGCTCGTTCTGACATCCCGGTGGATGGGTCGGAGGCTGATGCGATACCCCCTTCTCGATGGCAAGGGATGCAGCGCCGGTGCTAGATGACTCTGATGATGAAGGTACACATTGTCATGTAGATTATTATTTGCCATTTTTAAACATAACCGTCTATTTTACCGAATAAATGTCTACGACTTTTTTGGGTTAGTTATAAATTGTTGTAGACATCTATCTGATTAATGGACTTCCTCTCGCAGGATTGGATAGGACTGAGAATGTCATATTGGATGTGGCATACGAGGGGGACGAGCTGTATTTGGGACGTGTTTTCAAAAACAAACGAGACTGCAAAGTTAAGATAGCTGTCCATGCCATAAATAGGAGGTTCAGTTACCGTAACAAGAGGTCCAACAATGACTTTGTGGTGGTGAGGTGCCTCTCCGATACCTGTCCGTGGAGGGTATACGTTGTTCGCGTTGAAGATACCCAGTACTTCCAGATCCGAACTGCGACGCTGCACCATAATTGTCCGGTCGATGTGCGTAGGCAGTTTCACCGCCAAACCACGACATCCGTCATCTCCGAAATGATGAGGGAGCGTTATGTGGGGGAGCAGCGAGGCCCAAACCCATCTGCTGTTGTTCGGGTAATGCTCGAGCACCATCACGTTTCCATTTCTTATTGGAAAGCATGGAGATCGAGGGAGCTGGCTATGGATCGGGCAAATAGCTCTGCTGCTGGTAGCTACAGCCTCTTACCTGCGTACATGCATTTGTTGGAACTTAGCAACTCGGGGTCGGTGACGGCCATTGAAACGGAGGAGGATGGAGCTGGGAACAAGCGCTTCAAGTACTGCTTTGTGGCCCTGGGTGGTAGTGTCCGTGGTTTGCAGTTCATGCGTAAGGTGCTCATTGTGGACGGCACTCATCTTAGAGGCAAGTACTCGGGGTGCTTGTTGACGGCGAGTGCCCAGGATGGGAACTTTCAAATCTATCCGCTGGCGTTTGCGGTCGTAGATGGAGAAAATGATAAAGCGTGGGAGTGGTTTTTCCAGAAGTTAAAGCATATCGTGCCCGACGCGGAGACGTTGACCTTTGTTTCGGATCGGCATTCGTCAATCTATGCGGGGCTGTATAAGGTATAAATAAATATAATCGTCTATATTTATTTGTGGGTTGTAATATCTAATCAAATATTACAAATTATTTGGTTTTTGGCAATTATGGGGTTGCGTGACCGGTTTCTTTATAATTCAGGAGTACCCAAAGGCTACACACGAAGCCTGCATCGTCCATCTACAAAGGAATGTGGCTGCTAAATTTAAGAACAAGGCTCTCGCAGGAGTGATTTCCAAAGCGGCTCGTGCGTATCGGAGATCCACATTCTACGAGTACTTTGCAGAGATTGAGGGGATGTCACTGGAATGTGCTGAGTACTTGAACATCATTGGTTTCCACCACTGGACGAGATCTCATTGTGATGGGGAACGGTACAACATAATGACAAGTAATGTAACGGAGTCTCTTAACGCCGCACTAAAAGAAGCTCAGGAGTTGCCTATTGTTTCTATGCTAGAATTCATCCGTGGTACGATAATATCTTGGTTCAGCAAAAGGAGAGATGTTGCGGCGAGCCATACGTCACCGATGACACCGAAGGTGGAGGAGCTCATTCATACTAACTACGAGTGCTCAACGGCTTGGAACGTCCTCCAGATCAACAAAGACCACTACGAAGTTAAAACTCGTACTGGTCTATCTTACCATGTGGATTTCCACCACAAGACATGCCCCTGTGAAGAGTTCACCCATTTGAAGATACCGTGCTGTCATGCTGTCGCGGCGGCTAGTAAGGGTGGCGTTAATATCCCCACCATTGTGGCTGCAGAGTATGGGACGTTTTACTGGCGTCTCGCCTACCATGAAAGTATAAATCCGGTGCCTGCCTTAGACAGTGTGTATGCGGTCCCTTCCGATGTGGCTGCAATGGTTGTCCAACCACCGAAGACGAGGAGGCCTCCAGGTACGCCAAAGCGTAGTAGATACCTTTCAAGAGGGGAGTATAAGGTATCTTGTGTAGTGCTGTGTATATTTATATCGGCGTATAATTTGACATGGACGTCTATTTTTAACTATAATTGACACTTACACATTTAGCGTCCGGGGAAGAAGGTTTTCCGCAAGTGCAGCCGCTGCAATGGGACTGGGCATAACCGCTCTTCGTGCAAGTTGCTGATATGATCGTTCTCTGCATTGTATGGTAATGGTGTATGACACACTGACATAATGACGGTTGAGAGGATAGTGTCAACGCCAATAAACATCCGATTGTTTTGTTTTTTCTCCGCAGTTAGGAGCTTCCAATTTTCCCATGTACGATGATAGCTCTGCGGCTTGAAGTTTCTATTGTGTGCTCGGAAAATAAGTGGCTCTTTCATCGCTTGTATTAAATCCACCGCCACGGCCACAGATGTTGCTGTGCATCTACTGAGGCGCTGCCTTTGTATTATAAGTTCAGTTTGATTGTACCGATTTGTCTTTGTAAAATATCTGAACCACCGCCCCTGAGAGGGCCGTCTATGTATATCGGGTGAACCTTTTTGCCATGTTTAGTGTATAATATCAAAGTTCAAATCTTCCGTCTAATCATTTTACAGGTGGTTAT